AAAGTCAACAGGATCCTGGCCTGTATCTGCAATAGCAGTGATCGTCCCCCTGTATTGGGCACTGGTGAGGCCACACCTCAAATCCTATGTTCAGTTCTGGGCCCCTCACTACAGGAGAGACATCGAGGTGCTGGAGCAGGTCCAGAAAAGGGCAGTGGAGCTGGTGAAGGGTCTGGAGCACAAGTCTTACGAGGAAGGGCTGAGGGACCTGGAGGGGTTTAGTCTGGAGAAGAGAAGGCTCAGGGAGGACCTTATTGCTCTCTACAACTACCTGAAAGGATGTTGTAGTGAGGTGGGTGTCAGTCTCTTCTTCCAAGTAACAAGCAATAGGACAAGAGCCTCAAGCTGCAGCAGGGGAGGTTCAGATTGCATATTACGAAAAATTTCTTCACAGAGAGGGTGCTCAGCCATTGGAACAGGCTGCCCAGGGAAGTGGTAGAATCACAGTCCCTGGCAGTGTCGATGAGGCCCTCAGTGACATGGTTTAATGGTGGTCTTGGCAGTCCTGGGGTAATGGTTGGACTTGAAGATCTTAAAGGTCTTTTCCAACCTACTTGATTCTATGGTTCTGATTCTATGATTCCTCCCATTGTTTTTTTTACCCTGCATCTTACTGGTTTCCGCAAAGTAGAAGCAGCATGAGCACTGCCCATCTCATATCACTGGTGACACCGGGGTGAAGCTGAAAGGCTCTAGCAATTTGGTATCAGTCACAGGACTTTGAAGGACATTCAAGAAAGGCAGAAAAATGCACCTTTTTTTTTTTTTTTTTGACATGCAACTATTTGGCTCTTTTTTCAAAACTTGCAGCAAGCAACACTTTAGTACATGCCTGGAGATACCACCATGAGCATTTATGCTGAGTTACAGAATGTTACTAATATCTTACATGACCATTTTGTCCACAAAGGGAGGCCTGAAAACATAAAAAAATGGGAACTTCTCCAAACAAGGCCCAGGGTCCTACACCTAGTAGGAGTATTGTCTACATTGTCTTATGTGATGTGACAGATCCAAGCCTCCACGACATGCAGTATGTGTGCACAGTGTAGTTTATATTTATGCACAGAAACAGCTTTCAAGTCTATTACTGCTAAGCAGAGATCCTCTGGGCAAGATTTAATGCGCTTGGAAGTATTTTTTGATATAACAGGGTGATTAAAATGGCATGGGAAGGTTCCCCTTACCATGGCGAAACGATGCCTGAGTGGCAAAGCCAAGAGGAGACAAAACCATCAGTTAAAATCATGGCAACACTATTGTTAAAGTTCATTGTCCTTCAGAAAGGATTTGGTACTTACTTCTGGATCGGATATAACAATCATTGCAGTTAAGAAGACCATTTCTAATCCTGACATCTGTCCCACTTGCTGCATCTCCCAGCTGTCCCTTGCAAATGCCACACTGTCAATTGAAGAACAGAGAAAGTAAGAGAGACCATGCCCTACTCTTTGTCACAACTCTTCCCAAATTTTGACTTTTGTTTCAATAGTTTCTGGAACAGTGAGAAAAAAAAACCCCAAAACCCCAGAACCCAGCCCATACTCCTGGGGAGCACTGCACATCAGTTAAATGCTTTTTTAGAGCCAGCAGTCTTTAAGACTGGATTTCAGCAGTTTCCACTTACAGAGAAGTAAAGTCTAGTGATTTTAAGGGACATCTGATTTTAACATTGCATTCTGGAGCCAGCCCGTTTGTGATGGACAAAGAGTAGTTCAGGTAAATGTCTAATACCAATTGGCCCAGAAATAATGGAAATGGACACTTTCTGAGTTCTCTACAAAACACTACCTTCTAGACTGAAATACTTAGAACAGTTAAGAAGGATTTTTGATGAGAATTTTGGTGAAAGCCAGAATACATCACCCATTCCATAGTCAAAGATTTCCAGCCATGGGTCAGATCAAAGATGGCTTTGGGACTGATCATGTTTTTTGGGCAAGAAAGAAAAATAAATTACAAGGTAACTAGTGTTGTATTTAAAAAACAGTGAGTACAACAGAGAAGTTATACTTCCCTCTGTGAGGAAGCTAAGTTTGCTTGATAAATGACACGTTTTAGTCCAATTAATATGTCTGACAGCAAAATGACACATTAGCTGCACTACTTCCACTTCTCTACAAACAAACAAACACACACACAAACAAACCTACACAACAAACAAGCAAATCCTTTGGTCCTCTCATTTTCCATTTCACATCTACAGCCCTCAATATACTGCCTCCTCACACTGTGCATGACTTGAGATTTTTCTTAATAAAACAAGCAAGAGACATACCCTGAAGCACTGAATATGGAAATAAAGACCAAGTGTTTCAATAATCATGGCAGCTCCTTTTCCAAGAGGAAGCCCACAGGTAGAACAAAGCTTCTTTCCGCTGACAGACCTAGGAGACAAATGCGACTTTAAGAAAACAAAACAGCAACTGCTGCTAAAAGGTAGCCAAATGTTTGCAGAGGTTATGTAGAGGGACAGGATGGGAGGAAGGAGCATTGGGGGTTTTCCCATAAATACACATTGACCCTTCAGCCATGCTGCTAAATCAGCCTGTGTGTTTGCCTTGTAGACAAGCAGAGGTCTTAAAATGCTTGAATGCACAGCAGCTAAGCCCCATTTCCCTGTCAGTCTGCTGTGCTAGATCAAGGAGATGCAAGCCTCTTAACAGAGGCCTGGATGGTGGGGAACCATGCCCGTGGATTGCGTAGACCTAGTCAATGCCACAGCAATCAAAGAAGATATTCACACAAATTAACCGAGTCAGACTCTCAGCCTGGAATTCTTTTCAATTTGTTTGCAGATGGGTTTGCTTACTGCAGTCAGAAGGCAGGGACACTGCTCTTGCACCCAAACAAGCTAGTGAAGTCAACAGTAGCAGCATCACTGCAGTAGCACAGACCAGGCATCAGGCACTTGCTACTTAATTTTATACTATGCTGCTGCAGCTATATGCCTGTCAGTGCTGAAATCAGATCTCCATCTGCAATGCAAAGATGCTTTAACTCTCTCCTTAAGCTTCAGTCCTGTCTAGATGTTTCTAGTAAATCAGCTGTTTGATGACAGCTGGGTGAGAGATCAGGGCCCCAGAAATAACTGGTACCCTTCTTCGTAGTGGTTTTAATAGCTGTGTGGGTGCACACTTCGTGTTTCATGCTCTTCCCTTTCCACCTGTCTGCCAGCCTGCCAGAACTGAAGTTTGCCTAGTGAGATGAACCTGAGACCAAAAGGGATACCTTATTATTATGTGTCATCCATGCTTTTTTCAGCCAGGGCTGAAACCCTCTGCATTACTCAAGTCTACCTTCATTTTCACTTTTTCTCCACTATCAGAGTTATTATGTTAGTGTTGGATGAAAGAATAAAGTGCTTTGGGAAATTTTTAAAAGAGGTTTTCTAAAGTTGTAGTGGAACAATGAATTACGTCCCCTCCATTGTTTCCAAAACTAAAATTCATATCAGGAAAAGATCTTAGGAAAGGGTCTTATTCAGAATATAGCTGCTAAATAATATGAAGCAGCTACCACAACTAGCTACATGTAGCTAGAACTGATCTGAAATCCTACCAAACTTGCAGCTACAATTATCAAACCAGAAGAAATAGTTCACATAACAAAACCCCAATAGTTCAATATCATGGGATCAGAAGGAGGGATTTGCTATGAAATGTGAAGAAAAATGTCACTTAAATAGAACAAAAACTTGCTGTTTTCTGTGTTGTATTACTTTATTTAATAAGCCACCTGATGTTGATATACCCCAAATAGTCAGTGATTCAATCAGGCTACCGTTAACATTTATATAGAGTTGGTACACATATATCACTGAAAGCTGTACAGCTCATTGCTTGAGAGAATCAAATCTCTAGGAGATTAGCATGAATGTAGGCAAATTAAAAACACAGCAAAAAAGCAAAATGTGTTTCAACTTTGGAAATTAAGGAAAGGATTTCTTTCTAAATCAGCAAGTGTTGAAATGTGACAATGTCTAGAACACACTTTAATCCTGAGCATGTGACTATTTTCAATGTAGACAACATCCTTTGGCTTAAGTGCTCTGAACTCATGCTTAACTGCTTGCTTTGACTGGGGCTTATATCATCCCATTTCAATTACATTGAAATTTCAATGATCAAGCAGAGTCCTACAGCTGCTTTCTGAACTGTGTTATTTGAAAACATAACAATATTGCTGAGGCAGGCAAGAAATACAGGAGAGGGAGCTACATGTTTATTCCATGGACAGTTATGAATTGCAGCATTTAGAAGAATTAATAGCGCATCCACATAATACTCATGTGATTTACACTGTGGCAGTTCAGCAGTGACTACAAGATGTATTCAGTCTGCAAAATTCCTTATTGACCTTTTGTACCTGTTGGGTGACTGACTCAGAGCAGCAGGAGAGCAGGGAGATGGTGGCCCAGATCGGAAGTTCTCATGATAGCCTGCCCTAAAATACAGGAGAGAAGATGCATTACTACAGCTGATCAACAATTAAAAACAGCTGCAGAAATTCCAGATGGTGGGTTTCAGGATTCCCAGCTCTAAAGATTTTATCTCAGGAAAAAAGGTATACATTTACTGTGTGTTGCTATTTTGGTACAATGAAAACCAGCACACATTTTTTGGTTCTGAGTCTTGGTCTGCTTGCTATTGCTCCACCAGGTAATGTACAAGGTAATCAGCCAAATGCAGATTTCTACCCACCTATCAACCCTCCTGTCACCGTAACTACCACCATGGTGAAGGAACATTAAGCCAAGGCACACCTTGCACTCTCTGTTGGCCAGGTGATGTGCTCAGAAGCACACGGGTAGAGCAGATGCAGGTTTGTTGGTGGACGGTCTGTGCCCTTTAGTTAGTAAAAAGGAAGCTACCAGCATCTAGAAGTGGTTTATTACTATTTGTATCCATTTTACCCTGCAAGAATTTGTTGAGAAAACATGTATATTTTTTGTTATCAGAAATCATAGGATTAATTAAACGTACCACTGCTTAAAGCTGTTCAGAGATTAAATAACAATTTTCTCAAACACACAGTTTGTTATGAGGAATAGGTAATCAAATCTCAATCTACATTAGTTCTGGCTGGATACATGCTTCATAGAGGTAACATGTTTTGCAGACTGTGTTCATATATATTCTAGTGAAAACAGATGTTTCTTTCTCATTACATACATAGACTTTCTGAAAATTTAGGCAAGCAAAACCACTGTTTACTGAAAGAACTGGTATTACCTGTTAGTAATGTTTACTGAAAATCACAAGGCAAAGCATCAGAGAAGAAAAAAACCTCACCAAAATTTACAGTAGAAAGAAAATACTAATCTCTATGTATCTTACTTTAAAAGCTATAATCCTTAAAGAACTAGAAAACAGCAATCAATGTGTGTTTGGAAGCTGGGGAATGAAGCTCTTGGATATGAACTTCAAAGAGGCAGACTTCACATGACATTCCCACCCTGATATTTAGCCACTTCCTAGCTATAAATGTTTGTCTTGGACACTTAAAACAAATGAATAACATGAACAGTTATGCAGATGACTGTTTAAAGAGCTAGGGAGAAAGAAGGCAGAGAGTAGCAAGCATGGGGTGTGGTCCCTCATGAAACCAGTTATTGGGGTACCTGTAATGAGAAACAAAGAGGCTAAGCGTTAGCAGTCTTGGTGGGAACACCAGGCATCAAAGTTGTCTTCATACTACAGGACTACCCATGAAACTTAACTGATTAAGAATGCTGAGTTGGAATGTAAGGGAGAACAGAGCAGGCAGAACATCTCAGTCTCTGCAATAACCTTTATTTTATGTTCTCACCTCCTAGTTTCCCCTGCAGAGCTTGGCTGTTGTCCCGCATTCTGGCCTAGGAATGGTCTCTGCCGAATGTCCTCTGCACGATGTGGGGACTGCTTTGACAGCAACTGCTGATTCCAGGAGATGTCTACAATGGGAAGTGGGCAAATCTCAATAATTGAGACAAAATGCTTTTGCCAGTACTTACAGACCAGCATAGCTTGTGGGCACATCATAAAGGAGACAAGAAATGTACTGTTACTTAAAAATAAGTTCTCAGAAATCCCACACAAAGTCAGAGACAGACTCTGCTGCATCATAAGACCTCTATGAAACAGCATCCCTTTGCACTACCTTCACATACATCACCTACCCTTCTGCTGAATCTCAGTTTCTGAAGGGGAAAATAGAGAGGTCAAACAACTGTCGATGAATAGCACTTGGGAAAGTAAAGTATTTCTGTTGTAAGGAAGGAAGAACCAGAGAGACTGAAAGTTTGGTGGTGCCTGGGGATCTAAACTCAGTAGTAAGAATTAAGATGAAGCTGGTGTAGTCACTGCTTTCCATGAGCCTACTGATAAACAGCAGTACCCTTGCAATTTCCTTCTGTGTTGCAGACGGTTGTGCAAGGCTTAGTGACAATAACAGCCTCCCAGCAGTAAGCAATGATTCGTGTGATGCCTAGGCAGCCAACCATCCCATCTCTGGGACAGAGCACATCACCTGGATCCTTCCAGATGAATTTTGTGGCTCACAGGCTGGGGAGGACCCTCACCTTGCTGTGCACCAACCAGCTGGTTTAGAAGAGAAAAACTTTACTGAGGCCTGTGAAAGGCCTGTTACCTATTTTTGATATCAACACAAACTTTAGTCCTGACTATTTAAGGACTTAAGGAGAGAGCGAGGATGTGATGCTGTAATGGGCTAGAAGGGAGCTGTCAGAATTCTTGTGGGGGACTAAGTTGTTGAAGAGAAACTAGAAAGCCCGGGATTAGCAGCAGCAGTTAAAAACTGTCAAACCGTTTTCCCTTTAAGTTTGCTTAATCACTACTATAAATCCACAAGGACAGATTCCTGGGCAGTATCTTCTGCTTCTTCTTATTTGAGCAACTTTTTATCAAAGCACTTAGAGTACAATAAAATCAAAGAATCATAGAAGAGTTAGGGTTGGAAATGACCTTAAGATCATCTAGTTCCAACCCCCCTGCCATGAGCAGGGACACCACACACTAAACTATGTCGCCCTAGGCTCTGTCCAATCTGTCCTTGAACACCGCCAGGGATGGAGCATTCACAACTTCCTTGGGCAACCCATTCCAGAGCCTCACCACCCTCACTGTAAAGAACGTCTTCCTTATAGCTAATCTGAACTTCCTCTGTTTAAGTTTGAAGCCATTACCCCTTGTTCTACCACTACAGTCCCTAACAAAGAGTCCCTCCCCAGCATCCTTGTAGGCCCCCTTCAGACACTGGAAGGCTGCTCTGAGGTCTCCATGCAGCCTTCTCTTCTTCAGGCTGAACAGCCCCAACTTTCTCAGCCTGTCTTCATAAGGGAGGTGCTCCAGCCCTCTTACCATCCTCCTGGCCCTCCTCTGGACTTGCTCCAGCAGCTTTATGTCCTTTTTATGTTGAGGACACCAGAACTGGACACAATACTCCAAGTGAGGTCTCATGAGAGCAAAGTAGAGGGGCAGGATCACCTCCTTCGACCTGCTGGTCACGCTTCTTTTGATGTGTTTTGATCAAGACAGGGAAAGCAAACCTGCTAATTTTAAACTGAACTTACATTTGGAACAAATAATAACACTGAAACTTTTTCTATCCAGATGTTTCATTTTTTAAAATCACCAATTTTTATGCTAGCCTGAAAACAAAAATCTAGATTTCAATATCTACATCTGCTTTCTGTTTTTAGTCCTCCTTACTTTCCACTGTTCACTTGCATTAGATAATGATGTTAAATTAATGAATTTGCCTTTTTTTAGGGTGATCCTGTTGACAACAATGCTTTGGGGAAATTCCTTAATTTAAAAAACATCAATACTTACAGAAGCTTAAAAAAATCTGTGAATTTTGAATGTCATTAGACATTTCTAATGACAAAATTGACACAGGTGTCACTTTAGACTTAGCTTGAAAAGGTTACATATCACAGGTAGTGATTTTCACTGGACTGAAATAGACATGAAGAATCTAATTAACTATCAAAACACAAAATAAATGTTGGAAATATGCTGTCCCAAAATAAATCCTGTATGTATGTAAGATTATGTGAAAGACGGAAGATAACTATGTTTAACTACTACTGTGAACATGAGGGCCTATAAATGATATTCCTCCATGCCACTGAAACACCCATCTCTGATGAAAACAAGATTTTAAATCTCACCTTAACGTATTTATCTTTGCTAACAGAAAATACCTTTCGAGTCTGAGACATTCACATTTTTAAGATATACGTGTCCTGTCAATTTCCAAAATTCTTTGAGTTAGATTTCTGCAAGATTTCTCTCTGGAAAAGAATACATGCATATGAAAAGTATTGACTCTCACCCTGACTCAGTGGCAGATTCAGCCTGGCAGGCGAGCTGCGCTCCAACACCGGCACCTGGTGCTCTTGTTCGCCTCCTTTCAAGATACCCATTTCCGGGTGTCCTGTGAGCACTTTATTTCCACTGCCAATAAAAATAATCCACATTGTATAAATAAAGCCAGGAAAAAATTCCACCTAGTACATAATATTGGTCTATTTTTTGCAAAAAGGTTTTTGTTGTTGTGTCAGCAATGACAAAGCAATGACGACAGCTGTCATGAATTAACAAATTTGTCTTCAAATATGCCAAGTCTTCCTTCTTACCTTATACACTGCCACTGAGACGCGCTACAGATCATTCTGGATTTGTGGAAAATGGCTTCTTTGTCAGAGAAACAGCTTTTCTCAGTGTTCTTTATACAGTGTTCATCATCATCAGATGCTTCTCGTCTTCGTGAAAGTTGCTATTAGCAGTCAGGCAAAGACCAGGACTTTGAACACTGTCTGGCAAGTTTGGGTACAGTACTTCTGAGACAGCCAGGCAATCTCCTACAGATTCTCAATAAAAGCACCTACTGCTCCTCTATTCCTCCAAATGGCTTGTGAAACTTGTACACAAGACGCCGCACAGTGACATACAGGCACGTCTGTGCTGTCTAAGCTCTGATCTGGGTGATGTGACAGCCTCTTGGCAAAGCCGTATTCTCAAAAGGCAAGCCTTCTGACATGCACAACTAGCACTGCACATTGAAAATATGCATCAGCCTGCAGCAAGTCAATGTTGATTGGGACATACTGCATCTATCACCAGGCCACCAGATGCTGATGTTCCAGCATCAATCACAGGCAGATGTGACATCCTAGAAGTCTATATATGAACACAAAGCTTCACAGGGCTAAGAAATGCTTAGGCTTGATCCATACCTCCTCTTTTCTTGCCAGAGTTCATTTTCCTTGCTTTTCAGAGATGGCATACTGTCCTGCTCCCAGAGCACCTTTTTCTGTCTCGTAGCTTCTTTCTGTTTGCCTTCCTCTGGAGAGTTGTTTGAATCACTTGCGTTCTAGAAGATAGCAGGGGAGGGAACAAGCAGCTTCCCTTAAATTTGGCATCAGCACACACACGAGAAAAGCATGGGCTGTCCCCACATATATTGTGTTGACACACCTTATTATCATAAATAACATCTCACATTATACAGTGGAAACATTTGACCTTAGTAAGGCTAACTTAGGATATAACAAAGACTTCAGATGAAACAATCAGCTGATTGGGCTAAACTGAGTATTAAAGAAAAAAGATAGGGACAGACCAATTATGAGATGGTGTTCAGGTTGACAAAATAAAACTTCCCACATAGTTTTGGCAGAAATCCTTGAATGACTTTGAGAGTCTAGACAGTCTCCCATTGGACTTGGAAGGACTTTGTAGGGGACCTCAGCTTGTTGCCTCTGCCTGGGAGGCAAAGTATTACTCACATGCACTGGGCATCCTCACTGGCAATGCCAGTACTGCTTCCATACTGGTACTGGAGTGTGTCATACTTGATCGGTGGATCTTGACTAAGGCATGGTATAACATCCTTCACTTCTGAGTGCAGGCACTGCCCTGAATGTGGCATAACCAACTCCACCCAGGAAGCTACTGCCACACAGCCATGTGGAAAATGGGCCATAGCTGATGCCCTGCACAAGAATGAGTGATGAGAGGGGGCAGGAAGGGTGAGAGGATAACCAGATGTTACCATACTCTTAATCCTGAAGTGGAATGGAGACAGGCAGATGACTTCTTGGGTGTGGGTGCCTTAGGCAGTAGAAAATCATGTCTGGGAATCCCACTCTACTAATCTCACTTGGGGTATCATTCTCTGATCTCTGTTGAACACTTATTTAATTAGATGCTAGATGCATCGAGTCAAATATTTTGTGCTCCGTAAGTAAACAAAATAATCAGAGCGTGAACATCCCTCTGCTTTGCTGCTTTATAGGAGGGATGGTGAGAGAGAAAAGGAGGAGAAATGGGCAGGCAGGATTCAGTCTCATCTTTTTCACTCAAGATTTCGGATGCAAGGAGCTCCCTTCAGATTCTATTGGCTTTGAGAAGGTAGTTAAAACAAACAGAAACCGGTGACTGTTTTTCACAGCACAAGTTAAAGAACAGAAGCAGCTGCAAAGAGAAAAAGTATCATCCTTTGCTCTAGTTCAAAATGGGATGGTTGTAGTTTGCCTGGTAGTATGGCTCTTCAATTGTGAAAATATACAAGCTACAGCACTTTGAGGTATCATTAGTTATGGAAGAGATCCAGGGAATATTCTTACTGTTCACAGGCTTTGTCAGCCTTTAGTGAAGAATACTGAAGATGGCTTAGTATTTATTGTCTTACTACTCCATGAGAAACTCACCAGTGTCTTGTTTCCTTCAGTAGTAGAGGAAGACGAGGAGAGGAGATCAGCAGAGTTCGAAGAAACAATAAATGGAACTACAGTGTCCTCAATTATCTTACGTTCCTAAAAAAAGAGGATCAGGAGAGAGTGGGGGTTAAAAATACAGAATGTCAACTACGAGCTTGAGAAGTAGAAGCATACAGTTTGACTACGTGCAGTATTTAGATGGCTGGGTAAGGACCTGTGCTACCAAGAATACATGTCAATTTTGCTTCAAGGTTTTGCACTCCTTTTCCTTTCACCATTACCATCTTTGAGATGGGCTGTCCAAAACTGGGGTGAATGTTCCACTTGGGATGGCACCACTGTTTCTCAAACCACCAGCCTATTAAATTTCATATAAAAGTATGAAATTACACGTGGTACATGAGAAAATTATTCTGAAAGTTGAAAAAATTTTCTCGTTCAGATCACAAGTATAGCCCTCAAACACAGATGATAAGACATCAATTTGAATAATGCACAGTCAAACTGTAAACATTAATATTGTCCAGTTTTCTGCAATAATGACCCACATAAAACAGAAGAATCCCACTATCTTCTATATTGTTAATAATCTACAACTGCAAGCTTTGAACATTCCATGTGGATTTTTTTTAATTTTAAAAACCAAGTCCAGTTTACAAAATACCTACTTGATCAAGCCCAAGGCACTTCAATTTCATCTGGAGTTCCACCAAGTCCAGGCTATGCCAAAATGCACACAGCTCTGCCTCTGGAGGGAGGTTTGAGCATGCCTAGACACAACCATACTGACTCACTCAGACTTGCATAGCAATTAGACACCTCCACATATGCGGAGGTTCTGAGGATACCTGTCTAAATATTTCAGTATTTTCCCTCAGCACCTATGGTAGTGTTTAAGAGAAACAATCCTGAGAATTCAGCCTTGAGCAGCCTTTTCATTAATTAATGCAGGTATGGGATTTTTTTAGTTATGTAAGTGGGTGCATTTAAGTACAAAATAAGTCAATAAAAAGCCTCCTCCTTTGAGCCTTATACCTCCTCATAGTATCTACGCTCCTCCTCTTCCACTTCTCTCTGGGCCTTTTCCCATTCCTCTTTCAGCTTGTCCTGCTCCTTCTGATACTTCTCCTTTAAGAGGATACAAATACAGGTAAATTCAGAGCAGTCTGTATTAGGAGTAAATTCTGTGGTACTCCACAGTGAAAATGAAACTGCTAAGAGCAGTTTAATCAGAAATAGAAGGAAATAGGGAGATAAAAATTTGATACATCCATGGATGTCAAAAAAAAAGCTTCTTTTCCTCCTCTCCCCACTTGTTTGTAGCTTCAAAACACAAGGAACTTTTAACATACTAGAAGAAGTTTAATTCCTTAGAATTTTTTATATCTTTGGTCAGATATGAAATTTATGCTCAACAATTTCAAGAATTCCCTGTTTATCACACAGTATTAAGAGTTCCAAAAGCCATCACACCCCCTCCAAAAACATGTAGGCAGGGATTTTACACTAAAAACTTCAGCAAAGTAGCATATAAACAAGCAGATTTTACAGATACTTGTACTAAATTAAGAAAGATACCAGTACAATTTAATTAGTGATGAACACCTGTGCAAGTTTAAAAGATAAATGGATAGTGTGTAAAGGTTTGAAGAGGGTAAGCTTATAATTAGCCAAGTAGTGTCCGAATTTAGTTTGATGCTTTCCAAGAAGAACCTGTGAACAAAACAAAAGTCTACAAAAAATCTCTGAAGACCATCATTTTACAGACAAGTTGCATAGGCATCAGGATCAGAAAATTGTCAGTCTTCAGAAAGAGGCTCCAAATTCATGAAGAATCTTGCAGTCTATGCTCAATATACTTTAAACATAGTTGAGGAATAACATTTGATGTAACTCTGTATTGAAATGCAGAACTGAAGTCCTTTTGGTCTTTCCATGGAGTGGGAAAGGGAGACCTAAGAGTGTTCAAACCACAGAGAACGTGTGTATGCTCATTATATTACTCCTCCGCTACAAAATGTGCTCAATTTCCACAGAGGATGTGGAAAACATAACATGAATTTCCCAACTTTTGTCCAAAAGTACAATTCAACAGCTGAACCACGTGGTGGAATACATGTAGTTTCTTTCCTACCTGAAGCAAACGTTCTTGCTCATGCTGCCACCTTTCCTGGCGCTTTCGCTCTTCTTCTGGATCCCAGCACCAAAAATTTAAACGCTTGCATGAAGAAAAACCAAGTCATTAGAGTCTGACACTGCATTTCACAAAGCTAACGAAAAAAGCTGCGCTTCTCCTGGCCTACCCCTGGTAATGATGTTAAAATGGGAAAGTGAGAACTATACAATGGTTCTCTTAGTTAGCAAAAAATATTCTGAATGCCACTGACACGTGGGATTGCCCACAGGTATCCAAACGATAAAATAATAATTTGGTTTGCAAAGAAAGGCTTGGGAAACTTCAACTGGAGGGGAAGAAATTAAAAAGATCTGAAAGAAAGCTCTAAGCAGCACTCAACAGATTCCTACAGGCACTCAAATTTAAAGAAAATACCTATTTTGTTTCTATCTGATCTTCTGTGCAACACGCAAAGCAATTTGTGATTGCAAAAATTATTCTCTCATTTCATATGGCTACCAGCACAACAGCTTATAGCCTTGTTTTAAATTTTTATCTATAATGAAATAAAATCTCAGGCTTCACTAAGGATCCCATTACATGCTACATGTTTAAAATCCTTATAATCAAGGGCAATTTTAGACACTTGATGTCATATCCCTTTCCACTAAGAAGTTGCATGTGAGTCTAACAGGAAGAGATGATGTCTATTTTTATGTGACAAACAGAATATGAAAGACTTTATGCTTCGGAGTAGCATTTGTGGTAAGGATTTTTTTAATTGAGGCAACAGTAGAATTGTGGTCTTCTCTAATTTCTATGCATTTGAAACCGAATAGATAATTTAGCTTTACATATCGTTTTGAGATTGTGAAGCTTTAGTGGCTCCAGCAACCAAGTACTATACAGCTACCACTTTCTCCAGATAAGAGGAGAATGCATAAATTCCAGCTTTAGATCATGTCTTGATTTAGGTTGTATTTTTTCCCTCTCATTTCTATGAGAAAGAAAATAATTATCATTCTGATTTGGGGATATCACAAGACATTTTGTATAAAAAAATCCACTTTTGCTAAACACATATCTCTAAACCAAACAATGATGCAAAAACGGTACTCACATTTGATTTGTCACCACTATCAGAATCAGCTATTAAAACAAAACAAACAGGAAAATGAAAGATTAAATTTAACATAGCAAAATGTGCTTAGCCTGAATTCAAAGCTACATTGTATCTGTATAAAAAAGCTTCATGTTAGTTTCCTATTTGCTCCCACAATGAAATGCAAGGATGAATCACAAGCAAATAAACTAGAAAAACAGATTACACCCGTCACCCACAAAACTACTTTTTAACTGGGTATAGAGGAGCACAATACTAACTAAATCAGGTTCTACTCTATCACTAGCTAATGCCATCCACTTCTGGCCACAGACGTTAGCAGTCTTTGGACACTGAGTGTTACCTACCTTGATCTACTTTTCCCTTCATGATTCAGTGCAAGGAAGGAAAAAGCATAGCAAAGCTAAAAGGATAGGACTACACTACTCAAGAGCCACAGTTACAAAAAGAACCATTGCCGTTTTCTATCCAAATGTCTCTGAAAATTAGGGTGATTTAAAGAAATTAAGGAAAAGGTATTTATAGGCAAGTATACTTCATTTGGGTGCCTGAAACCAGAGCATCACAACAATGTGCAACCCAACAGCTCTTTGTCAACTGTGCAGCATGAATAGATATCTTCTACAAAAGAGCAGGAATAGATATATTCTACAAAAGCAAGAGGTAGGAGAAGTCCCCGTGATCATCAGCTTTCACCCCAGCCCCATGTCCGAAGACACCTATGACTGGAGGCAGCAGAAGGGCTCAAGCTGGTCTTAGCGCCACATTTACCTGACTGTGAGAAAAACTGTGAGCGCCGCCAGTTGTTGCGAACCCTAAGTGGAACCACGGCCCCACGGGGCAGCTCTGCAGGCAACGGCACCGGGACAAAACAAGAAACACAATGAGGTCAAAAGGCAATGGACTCTCAGACCCACCTCAGCCATGAGAGGCTGAGGGAATTGGGGCTGTTCAGCCTGGAGAAGAGAAGCTGTGTGGAGACCTTGTTGCAGCCTTCCAGTATCTGAAGGGGGCCTACAAAGATGCTGGAGACTCCAGTGTCCAAGGCCAGGTTGGATGGGGACTTGAGCAACCTGGTCTAGTGGAAGGTGTCCCTGCCCATGACAGGAGGGTTGGAACTAGATGATCTCAGGGTCTTTTCCAACCCAAACTGTTCCGTGATTCTATGATTTTGACTACAATCACTTTGGCCCATTGCAGCTAGTTTACAGTGGAGCTGCAGATCACATAAACTGCCTGTATTTAAATGCTACTTTTGTAACATGGCACCTAACCTTACACAAGAACTCTAGCACACTAATACTAGTCAAAGGCAGCCACCCCTTCAAGTCTTTGCATGGTAGTTGCATTCATTCCTATTGCAGATCCCGGTTTTAAAGGGGCTTGTGATCCTTTCAGCACTGTACGTGCTGTGAACACTAGAGAGCAGCCAAGGGTTTCAGCATCACTGAAAATCAGGCGAGAGACCTACAATCTGTTACTTGATGTTTGGAATGATTCGTGCCTAAGATGATATTGTTCTCCAAGCCTGTTTGGGATGCACATCCACACTTAAAACAAGTTAGATTTCTATTTCTTTTCAGACAATCATTTTTTCCACAGTGGACTACCTTCAGTAGTTTCAATCTTGAAAACACCAGGATAATCAGTATATTACCTACACATAAACTAACAACCTAAAAAAATTCGCTGGGGGAAGAAAACTTCAGATGATTTTTCTCTCTCTTACTTTCATAATACCTACATATATGCATCTCTTAAATCAACATAGAATCAAATCACTAAACACTATCAATCTCAAGCAAAACTTTGTCATGAAGGCAAAAAAACCAAAAAAAAAGAATAAAAAATGTTCTGCTTTCCAATAACTTGTGAGGGGCACAAGTCAAATTCAGGGATGTGGCCAGATATGTGTATTGCTTATCTATGGAAAGGAACTCCACATGAGCAGCTGAGTGCAGAATTTATCTCCAGAAATTTTTATTGTGAGATAAACCAATTGCTAAGCCACTTTCATCTGTGAGCAGCAGTACTAATAAAATGTAATACTCATTGACATAATGCAGCTTTTACTGTTAAGCCAGGTAAATGCAAAATAGGGCTCCCCTTCCTCCCCTCAGCTGTGTCACAATTCTGCTGTTGTGTTTAAGTGGAGCAGCCAGAAGAGTCTTTTGTATTACAGAGGCCACACTACCATTATCAGTCAGATGCAACTAGAAAATACCATTTGAGCTCCAAAACCCTCTAGGTCATTGATTAGGCACTTCTCCCTGAACACCACCTGCACATATTCAGTTACTGTCCAGCTGAGTTCTCCATATGCTCTTTGCTCACCTTGTAGACCAGAATTCTGCAGAGTAACTTGGCTGGTCTCGGGTAGTTTCTTTAAAAATGGCAATACTACACTCCCCTCTTGTTCCAGGGCTTTTGGTTTCATCACCTGTTCAGATATCAGGGAGCAGAAAACAGCATTCAAAAATCAGCAGGTTCAATCAAAGGTTAATTTAACCACTTTCTACTTATTTTCTGAATCAACATGATCAAAAGACAAAGCCTCTATCGCCAGAATTACAACATGGAGTTGCAGTACTGAAGTTCTGGAAATAATCAGTAGCTGCTTGTTGTTGACATTCACACTGTCCTGCACACCAAAGTGGATTCTAAACCAGGACCAACATCTAATTTACCTGACAGAGGAGCATGGTCATGGCCATTTGTTACTTCTGCCACAGCCTGCACTTGTTCAGCACCTCAAGAGGACTAAGAGGGTAAGTTCCACTGTCTCCATCTTCTGGATACTCTGCCCTCCCCCCACGTGGCGGGAGTGGGGCTTGCAGGTTAAATTCTCGTTACTGCTCAAGCCAGTTTACAGGTTCAAATGCTACGAGCAGACACTTGGGAGTTCTTTTGGAGGGAGATGTCTCTGATAACCATAGAATTTGGCACAGAAACTATCCTCCAGTTTCATACCCTGGCAGACTGTTTTGAATGAACTCCTGAACTGACATTATATAGAGAAAAATACCAACCTGCACAACAAACATTTCTGTGCGAGATCTTGCTTCTTTTTTTTGTTTTGTTTTCCTCGGCCTCTCTTTCTTGACCATACGTACCTCTGGTGCAATGGGGAGCTCTGCTTCCTTCTGCTGCTCTGTTTCAGGTTTTTTCACGTTTTCCTCACTTAAAGCAGCTTCCTCTGAAAGGGCAGGACTGGGAAGAAATTCTAATCTCTTCACAACAGGGCTGGCACAAGCTGCAGTTGACTTGAACTGCTTTTGACCTGAAACTAATCCACACATTTAAGAGGTAATATTCTCAGGTTAAGATATTTTTTCAAATAAAATGTAGACCTATTTCTTACAATCCGATTTCTTACTGCATATACTGTGAGCCCATATACTGGATGCTCTGAAAATATAATCTTCTTTCTTCAACACAAGCAAAATTAATCTCTCAGACCAGACAAGACTGTAAAAGTGAAATTCACCTGACAAAACATACATGCTTACACTTGACTTGGGCATCATGGGACACCCTTCATGGTCAACAGAGGCATTTCTTGGGGAAGGGTCATGCAAACTATTTCAGACAGTCCTCTGTGGTTGAGATGAGCTGTAACCTAAAACGTGCCTACCGATGTATAGATCTCTTTACTAAAGTTGTGTGATGAATCGTGTCCTAAGATGCTACCCAGACAAGTAGCTATAGCACAGTTCGCATGGTCTCACTTGTCAGCACTGGAGGATATTTCAGCTTGCCTATTTCCACTAAACCACATCAGTCAAGCATCAGACAGCAAACAAACTGTGCTAACAGGGAGCCTTGGACTGGAATAATCTAGTTGTTATTCATTTCTTTAAATAAACCCAATGAGTTGATGCTGATTTACAGGAGAAGGGACCAGGAGCACACTGGCTTACAGCTGAGGACTCTGACAGCTACTGTTAGCTGGTACCACCACTGGAAGCAGAGCAGCTGCTAGCACCCCAGGCAGTGTGCGAGCACCCCGACATCTCTCTAACCTCCTAAAGCAGAATCTCAGCTTCAGATCCTATCTCCTCTCTAACCATGGCAGCAGTGGCAGCTTCTGAAAGAGTGGTACCTCTTTGACAAGCTGGGAGAGTGAGCTAAGAAAGAGATGCACCCCAAGGTGCTGCTAAGAACCTGCACAAGCAGAGACAAGAGCTTCTCCTGCTGCTGGGCAGATGCACACTGCTTTGGACCAGTTCTGACACCACTTGTGACATAGGGGTCACAGCATGGAAGTATTTATCTTGTACTGAACAGCAGAGGAGGTTGCTTATTCTAAAAGAAGGTTGCACAGTTTGGACCACATCTATCCTCCAAAGCAGACATAATGAAAACCCATGTTCCTTTACCATTTCAATTCTTGCAATGCTGTATCAGTTTTCTTTGCCAGCCAATATCAAATTTTGCTACCAGTACTCAATATTTAGCATTTCTCACAGGTGTGGAGCCTGGCACAAGGTGGCTTTGTGAACTGTAGACAAGTATCACTGGCTCATCACTGCTGACGCTTGAGAGAATTTTGTTGGTTCACCACAAGATTGCAGCTTCTACATTACCTGCCAGGTGCAATTCAGGATTGTTAACCTCTGTGCTTTGGCACCTATGAGCCAAAGTAATTAAGTCAGCTAACAAGCCCTCGGTGAGAGCCCTTCAGCGTTTACAGCACATCAAGAGAAGGATGGATATGCTTCTAATTTTGGGGGAATGGTGTGTTTGAAGGCAAAGTTCAATTGTTTAAGTCATATTTATTCTCAACAAATAGGAGCGTTATGCTTATGTATCAGTTACAGCCAGAGATCTCATTTAAATACTTACTTCAAATAGTACTTTTTACTTACCCATACCAAGCTGAACCTTGACAGACCCGTTTAAAAAAATGAACAACAAAAAAGACCATGAACTTTAGCCACAGGCAGTAGATGAAATGCCTACCCAAGGGTAATGTTTCAGACAAACTCTTTTGAGGAAAATAGCTTCAAATCTTACCAGTAAATTCCTTTCTCCACATTAGGAATCATGCATAAAGGCTTTAAAGCAGAAAATCAGAAGTGTGCACAATACCGTCCATTTAAAGCCCCTCTGAGGATTGAAATGCCCCTTCTTATTCTCCTTCCACATTTCTTAATGCCTTGGAGGTGGGGGGAAAGTGTTAAATAGAAGCTATTACGGACTGATAGTTTCTGTCACGATTGCCTTCTGGTTACAGCACGCTTAGGCACCAGCTTTCTACTCACACAAATAGCAAAGCAGACAACTCGCATCCCAAGCAATGTGTAGTGAGGTGTGTTATTTCAGCCGTGGAATGACAGAGCAGCCCAGGCTGGAAGGGGCCTCGAAAGGTCATCCAGTCCCAACTTTCATGGGAAAGGGAGCCTAGAGGAGACTGCCTAGCACTCTGTTCAGTTGCACCTTGAAAACCTCCAGCCATGGGGACTCTACCATCAGGTCCCTTGGGAAGTCGTTGCAGTGAATGATCGTTCTTACAATAAACAATTTCTTTCTTATGTTTTGATTTCTGACAACTTCTGCATTTTCTAATAAACCCTCTTGGTGCTGCTGCAGATGCACTTATCGGACTCTGCTGCAGGCTGGGCCTAACCCCCAGTCCCGTTGGTGGGCAAGGGCAGGGGCAAGGGCAGCAGCTACCACCTACCCGGGGACGGGCATGCCAGGCTCCCAGGTCCGGCACTTCCAGGGCTGGCCTCAACCTGCTGGCTGGCGGCTGGGTCTGCTTCCACTGGGGAGGGCTGCAGAGAATAGTACAGTAGAAACACAGTGAGTACACTGGAAATAAAAGTGTTAATTCCTCAAGGCAGTACTTGTTGCTTCTTTGTGATGTGTTTGAGCCAAACTGGTTTAGAGCTCACCAGGGAGCTTGGGAGTATTTTTCGGAGCAGTACGTGCCACTTGGGTGTTGAATCACTGGGCTTTAATCTCCTTTTCAAACTGTTCATCAGCAGCCATTAATGTGGTTGGTTTGGAATAGCTCCTACAACCTTTTAAAATTGTAGGATATCTTGGATTGTGTTAGCTGGAGATAACCATACATTTCACCCCTAGTTTCCTCTTCCAGAACGAGACAAAAATGTATGCATTGGTGAATACATAGCACATACTAGGGTTTGAAAAGTGGCAAAGTAATTAAATACTTCCTTTATTTCACGGTTGTCTAAACAATCTGTTATCTGAAGGGAAAAGCCAGAGTCAGTATTAAAGGTAATGAGATACTTGAAATACTATTAAGAGAGGACTGAAAAAATATGATGAGACCATATCGAGCCAATAATCCAAATGCCTTTGAAAAGCCAGCTTCCTGACCCAGGACAAGGCTGTTGCAGAGCTAAAACCACACTGTCAAAACAAGGGTAACACTTCATCTGATCTATTTAGCAGCTTCCACCATACATCCGTTTTCCCAGCAGGCAAATCAAGAAAAACCTGCAGCAAACCTATCAGCCATGGCACAGTGCTGCTAATGCATGAAAAGAGCTAGAAAATGGCACATTCAACAGAAGAAAATAAAAAAAAGTCAAAAGTAACCTCCTTCAGAAGTAGTCTATTGTAGACTCGCTTTCCTGTCCTCCTCCCACCCCTCCATCTTACTAACAGCTGTAAGGGAAGAAACCTGATGAAATTTCCTCTTTTCTGGGGGCCGGATTCAGATCTCCACCTTAGGCATGGATCCTTTTTCCCATCCCTGCAGACCCACATGAGCCTACAGCCCCTCATCTGCTTGCGCCCCATGAAAAGCAGACCCGGGCTCTCACAGCTCAGTCACTGGGGATGTCTGCTGGCAGTACCAATAGGACAACAATGCCTGTGGACACACTTTGGCTCCAGAGAGCTTTGCTCTTGGCAGAGCTCAGGAATCCCTGCCTCTCCTCCTCTCTGAAGGGAGGTGTGCTCTGGAGGGGGTCAGGGGACATGTCTGGGAAGATGTGCTGTGAGGAAATGGTGCGGACTGGTGTGAGGACATGGCCAAGGGCTGTGACCCGGGCAAGCCCAGCAGGCAGTGAGCAGTGCCGGGAACAGAAGGAGCCCTGCCAAAATCTGTGCCGCCACCTCTCAGCAGGACAGGCGCCAGATCACAGCCATGAGGCTCTACAGGTGGCAGTGCGTCTCCTCCACTGCTGGGGCTGACTGCCCGCCATCCTCCCCACTGCCCGGCGCTTTCCATTGCACCCTCACCTCTGCCCCACACAAGGCATGGGGAAAACCCCCCACCTGACTAAAAAGTGGTTCTCAAGCTGGACAAGGCACATGGTGAAATATGTGCTCCAAAATGGCAGCATGGAAAGTCTGAGGCCTTCCTCTCCACCACGTCCACCTGTGAGC